TATTTTCAGTTGAGACAGCTCAAACCTGCATTTTAGTCTGGGACTGGCTTAAGCCTTGTCTGTGAAACGCAGACATCTTAAATAAGCCCTGGTTATTTCTGATGCGATTTAATTTTAAGTTTACAATCTATTTCTGATCAAAGCTTTAATAGCTTCAAAGCTTCATATCATAGGCTTGAGGACAGAGGAGTGGGGAAATTAGGAAGCATTATTCTGAGTAATGAGAATCTAGAGAACTAATCTTGAGGAACATGACTTCACAAGCAAAAGAAGCACCTTTTTGTTGATCTCTGGGTAGCGTGTTCCACTGTAGGGAATCTTCTGCTCGATCACTCGACCCGTCAGTGTGTTGCAGCCCTTCAGCTCACACAGTTTGTCATAGATCTTCATCATCTGAGACCACACAAAGAACATTAAAGATCCGAGAACTTATTGAGAACTTACCGAGAACGAGAACTTATAACACCTGATAAAATCTCATTACTTCAAAGTCAGTTGATTGTATCAAAATGGTTTGATTTACTATGACAACACACCGTAACTTCCAGAACTTTGTCCATATAGAACTATTTAATTAACTGAACCAAATCAGGAATGATACCGCAGGAATGAAGAGACTTACCTTGCGTTTGAGCTTGTGCTCCTGAATATAACTGGAGTCCTCCTTCTCCAGATCGTCTATACTCAGCTCCCGCTCCTGCAGCCGCCGGATCTCCTCATTATACACCTTCAACAGGTTTTCCAGGTATGCGATCTGAAACAGAACATGAGACACACACAAATTACAATGCACATGAATATATAGTCAGTCAAAATCTCTCAGCTCATTTCAGTGTCCACAAGTATAAAGCACAACTGTAGCATTTTAAAGAAGTACATTCCAAACATTTTATTCATTAAAAATATCTTTAACATGAACAAATAAACCTTTTGGTACAGATCTAGCACAAACAGATATTTGTAAGTCTTGATATATTCTGCAGAAGCCTACTTATACACTGTAAAAAAAATACATATTCATTTTTTGCAAGTGTTTAACCTGTATTTTGCACTTCTTTGCATTGTGTTTTATGATTAATGGAAATGTCTGTTAAATTACTGGATAATATCCTGGCAGAACATTACCAGTTAATTTTCTGTAGTTTACTTGTTTATTTTTAAATGTATATACAATGTATACTGGCAGTTTGTACAATAAAACACTTTTATGGCCAGAAGTCATCGCTTTCAAATAGGAATATCCCACACCCCACTTTAAATGAAACACAGCATCCAAACTCTTTACTGATTTTTTAAAAAATCCCTATGGATAAACTACAAGTAATTTCCATCCCTATGGAAAATTACTGGAACCAAAGCTTTTGAAATCCAATAGCGTTGAATCCACTGTCAAATCAACCTTCTCAACATATAAATTCAGTGGATTGCTCGAATACCTGTCTCCTTGAAGCCCTTTTCGTTTTCTTAGTTTCCTCACCAGCCTCTTGCTTTTCCTCTTCTTCTTTAACTTGCTCCTCCTCCTTTAAATTTGTCCCGTTGCTCTTTTGCTCAGGTTTTGTCTGGGAGGGGACAGACTGTAGGGAGCTCCTTTTCCGAGCTGTGTGCTGTTTAAGAACGGTGCAGAGTTCATTAATGTAGACGAAGGTTTTGCCAGTGTTGGCCTGGGCTCGTGTGAGGCAGCGGCCCAGAGTGTTACGAAACTCCACCGACGTCAGGAAGGTCGGCAGGGCCTTAGAGTATCTGGTCTGGAGGTAGGTCACGACCTCGGGATGGTCTTGAGAGTATTTGGAGCAATGGTCCACAAACTGGA